TCTATAAGGCCTTAGAGGGGGGGTGGGAGGGGAATGCGTCCCAGCTGCCATCTCTTGAAGCGGTTCTTTTCAAATATCCCCCACCCTCTCTCTGTGTAGGTGGAGTTCCATCATAGACGGTCCCAAGGGGCCAATGGTTGAGTGGAGGCAGGAATTTTGGTAAAGTGGCACATCCTTTTCTGATCTTCCAATTTAATCGTCATGGATGACATGAGGGAGGGTGACTGGATATTGGTACAGGCAGCAGGGTGGAGACCACAATGCGGGTGTCGGGGAAGTCCTCGCTGGCCTGCTCCGCCACCTTCCTCACTGCCTCAGCAGAGTCCCGACGGAGGCTGTGCAGGTCATTTGTTCCCGTGTGGATCACCAGGTACTGAGGGCTCCTGAGGGTCTCCTTTTTCAACAGCTTCATGGCCTGGCCTGGGGGGCTGCAGTGTTTAGACAGAACCTTTTTATCAGGAAAAAGCTTTCTTGGGTCCAGGAACTTCCCGTTTGAGTCAGCCAGCAGGACCACTTGTGGGTCTTGTTCTTCAGGCTGAGTGGGTGCATCAGGAGGTGCCAGGGTGCTGTTGGGCTGGGTGCTGAGCAGAGAGGGTGGGCCAGGGAGAGTCTGTGTCTCTGTACTCGTCATTGTGAGGACTGATGAGAGTCTCTGTCAGGTGCTGGACCTGCCTGGTGAAGCTCTTCTCTCTACACTCAGCATCCTCCCTCACCTTGGCTAACTGAACACGGAGCACACTGTTCTCCTGTTTGAGTGCCTCTTCACTTCCTCTGAGGTCAGATGCCAAAGCCTCGTTGTTGCTCTTGAGCTGCTTGAGGTCCTGTTTAAGCTGCTGCAGAGTGTTGTCTGGGGGACCAGACTGCCTGGCCTGGGTCCTCTCTTTGAATTCAGCAAAGTCCAGCTCCAGCAGGGCCATACTCTCCTTCAGCCGATTGTTGGAGCTGGCCGGTGTGGGAGGGGCAGAGATGGACAAGGTGTTGGGGTTCTCTATTGCAGGGGTTCCCAAAGTGGGGGTCGCGAGATGATTACAAAATAAAATGGAAAATAAAAAAAATAAAAATGTATAACGGAGGTGTTGCGCTGGGCTATATCATGCAATCGAAAGTGAAACTTAAGCTCGCTCCATTGCGGAAATATTCCCGCGAGAGTGCGGAAAACTGAAATTAATTACACCAGCTGATAAGAT